GAGAGAGAGAGAGACAGAGACAGAGACAGAGAGAGAGAGAGAGACAGAGAGAGAGTAGCTGAAGGTTATATACACACAGTGCCAGACAGGAAAAACCTCTCTTTAGAGCTGTTGGTCAGGGCAGTCCAAGAGAGTCCCAAAATAATACAGGCTATTGCCACAGCTCTTGATTGCCTCCCAGAACTTGAAGGTAAGACCCGATTGTTGAAGACAGGACATACTTTGGACACAGGACTTGGAGCAATGGAGCTGAAACTGACTTGGAATCCTCCTCCCTGAAGACTAGTTCTCATAGTTCTAGAGGATACTATGCAAGCTTCTAAGACAGAAAATCAATCAATGGTCCAACCATCTGTAAAGCCTAATAACGACAACAGTGACAGGTGTATCAAATGATCTCTGCTGTGCAGTAGTGGCACTTTTATCTTTTGGGTATTCAACAGCTATCTAATTGGACTTTAAGCCCATTCAATGGGAGGGAACTCATGTGTGATACTGTAAACATAAACAAACCGGGCATGATGGCACACATTTTTAATTCCAGCACTTAGGAGGCTGAAACAAGCAGATCTCTGTGAGTTCAAGGCCAGTCTGGTCTACATAGCCAGTTCTAGGAGAGTTGGGGCTACAGGGGGACCCTGTCTCAAAAAAAAAAGACCTGGGCTGGTGAGATGGTTCAGCAGTTAAGAACACTGGTTGTTCTTGCAGAAGACCCGGGTTCGAATCCCAGCACCCACATGGCAGCTAACAACTGTCCATAACTCCAGTCCCAGGGGATCCGACAGCCTCTTCTGACCTCCACGGGCACTGCACAACATGGGTGCACTTACCTACATGCAGGCAATACACACATACACATAAAATTTTTAAAAATTAAAAAAAAGCCCCCCTCAAAAAAAACCTATAAACAAAGCTGGGTCATAGACCCTAGAGAAAAAATTACATCTGTCACATCCCTAGACAAACATAATTTTTTTTGTTTTGTTTTTATTTATTATTTTTATTTTCTGTGTATGCGTGTATTGCCTGCATGTATCTGAGTGTACCCGTGTCGTGCAGTGCCATGGAGGTCAGAAGAGGGCTTTGGATTCCCCTGGAACTGGAGTTAAGGACAGTTCGTAGCCGCCATGTGGGTGCTAGGAATCGAACCCGGGTCCTTTGCAAGAGCACTCAGTGCTCTTAACCGCTGAGCTATCTCTCCAGCCCCTAGTCCTTTCTTTTAAAAGTACACAAAAGATCACAAACAATTTCAGGGATTTCTAGACTCCCTGAAAGTTCTTAAATTGCTGTAAAATAGTAAGACTGCTCTGATTTCGTAAGGAGCCCCACAGGATAAGGGTAACCCCAGAAATACAGGGGTTTGATGAAAGGACAAACCACCTCTGAAATCCACCATGCTGCCTGCTTTCCTCACTTCTCTTCCTGAGGAAGAACCAACGTAATGGGTGCAAAGGGCCTCAAGCAACTTAGGAGACCACATGTTTTTTTACTCCATGGCTCTGCCTAAATCCAGTCCCTCAGAATTGATCTCCAGTCCTCAACCCAATCTATCCCAACACATACAGTAACAAAAATGATCTTCTTACACAAAACTTTGATGAAAATATCAGTACTGAGAAGCTGGGTAGTTTTCTTTTTCTTCATTTATTTTTTGGTCATTTAGAAATAGGTCATCATGTAGCTCAGGCTGACCCTAAACTTGATATGAAGCTGAGTATGACCTTAAACTCCTGACCTCCTGCTCTACCTCCTGCTTGGATCACAGGTATATATATAGTACCACACTGGGTTCTGAGCAGTTTTATTAATGAATGCCATACTATAAGTTCTATGCTAGATGTTTGGGGTCCCAAATTTCACTTCCTCCTTCCTATAATCCTGTAAGACAGTTAAATCTGGGCTCCAATGCCAGCTTCTGTGGGTCTCAAACCTAGTCCACTTGACATTAGCAGTGTGACTTTCAGCAAATTACTTAACTTCTCTGTGCCTAGTTTTTTTCCTTCTGTTAATAAGAATACCTATAGTGGTTCAATAGTAGAGTGTTTCCACAACATGTGTGGGCCCTGGGTTCTAATCCTCAGCATAGAAAAAAAATTTTTTAAGTAAGTAAATTTTTTATTATAGACAGAGTTGTTTTTTTTTTTTTTTGTCTTTTTGAGACAGGGTCTCCCTGTAGCCCAGTTGGCCTGGAATTCACTATGCAGACCAGGCTGGCCTTGAATTCACAGAGAGCCAATCCACCTGTCTCTGCCTCCTAAATCCTGGGATTAAAGGCATGCCCAGCCTTTAAAATTATTTTTTTAATTTTTATTTTATGAGTATGAATATTTTTGCCTGTATGTATGTAAGTGCACCTCCTGCATGTAATGCCTAAGGAAGCCAGAAGATGGAATTGGGTCCTCTGGAACTGAGTTACAGATGCTATTAGCTGCCATATGGATGCTAGGAACTGAACTCAGGTCCTCTGCAAAAGCAGCCAGTACTCTTAACTGCTAAGCCATCTCTCCAGTCCAGATTTTTTGTTTTTATTTTGGGTGATGATGGCCTTGAGCTCCTCTGATCCTCCTACCTTCTCTCCTCCTAACTACTAGAATTGCAGGTGTGTGTCACCATGACCAGCTTCGTTAGTTAGTTAGTTAGTTAGTTAGCTAGCTAGCTAGTTAGTTGCTAGTTATTGCCAGTGTCTTGCTTTGCAGCCCAATCTAGTCTCTACCTCACCATCCCCCTACCTTTGGGGTATTACAGGGTTGTACCACCATATTCAGCTTTCTTTTCTCAAGGTCTAAAGTACAATTTAGCACTTGATTCTGTAGTTTTTTTTCTCACTGAACTTTATATATTATAAAAGCACTTCATCAAGAAACTGAAAGTTCTTTCTTTTTCAGGTTTGCTACTAACTTGTACTCTTAGGCAAACCCTATTTCCTACCAAAGTCCACCTCCTCTTGTCCTACTTTCACATGTGTCTGACAGGGCAAAACAGGGGTGTGGGGGTAAGGAACAGCTGTGAATAAAACATGATACACATTTTCACTGGAAAAGATGAAGAGAGCTAATGTGAGAGGTAGATGTTTTCTACAGAAGGCAGTGAGAACAAGTTCTAAGAACAAGTTCTGGGGTTCAGACTCCCTGGGTCTAAATACCAACTATGCCACTTATTCTCTGAAGAATCAAAAGCAAGAAAGCTCCTTAACCTTTTTTGCATCTTAGTTTCTCTTCAAATATAAAAAAGAGTCAATACTATCTCTTTCATCGGGGTATTGACAAAACAAAAAGACAACACATGCACAGCACTTAGACAATCACCTAGCATAAGCACACCAGAAATATTAGCAATACCATAATTTATATTACAGAGGACAGGAGCTAGGTCTCTTCATGTCTACTCTGGCAGTCACTCAGGATAACCCCCATAGCTTCAGATCCTACCTGGCAGGAGGGAAACGGCTGATATCCCCTCTGGAAAAAGTGAAGCATCGAAGGTTTGGACTGCAGCCTGGGGATGGAGTTGAAGAAAGGTCATTCTTCGGCTCCAGTTCCCAGCGAGAGATGGCTTCATTCACAAAGTCCCTGGCACTTAGCTGCTCCAGATTAGTACTCACATTATCCCAAGCCCCAAAATTATTGACCAATGCACCATACTTCTGCTCTGAGAGAAGACTAACACGAATTGATGGCCAAAGATCCCCAAACTGTACACTGTAGGTCATGTCAAAATTCTGCAGAGCCAGTCGACTAGCAGGGAATTTGGGTTCTGTGGTAGCCTAAAAGAGAAAAAGAAAACTTATTAATCTTTCCAGTCATGCCTTTATCTTACTGTCTGACTCTACCAATACTTCAGAGTCCAGGGACAATTTCAAATCCACGTGGTGCCCTCTCCTGACTTTGTATCCTGCCTCTTGTCTACCACAGAAGAATGTGGGAGAGAAAAATAGTGAAGAGATAGCCTTCCCATCAAAGGATTGTGAAGGGACACTATGCCTTTGATAGTAACTGTGTAGGGGTCATCAAGAAGGAGAAAGTGATACACACTTGTAATCCCAACACTCAGCAGGCTGAGACAGGAGGATCAAGAGTTCAAAGCCAGCCTGGAGCAACAAAGCAAGTTTGAGATCAGGCTATATTATACATCAAGAGTCTCCTGAAGAGCTAGCAAGATGGCTCAGTGGGTAAAGGCTCTTTGCCACCAAGCCTGACAACATGAGCTTGAACTACAAATTGTCCTGACCTTCACACGCATACACAGAAATAAATTAATAAATGTACTTTTTTTTTTTTTTTAGTGTTTTTGAGACAGGGTCTCCCTGTAGCCCTAGCTGGCCTGGATTCACTATGGAGACCAGGCTGGCCTCGAACTCACAAAGATCCGCCTGCCTCTGCCTCCTGAGTGCTGGGATTAGAGGCATGTGCCACCACGCCCAGCATAAATGTGATATTTTTAAACAGTCTCTTGTAATCCTAGCATTCAGAAGATGAAAGCATCTTCAGGACCAGAAGTCCAAGGGCATCCTTGGCTATATGGAGCTCAAAGCTAGCCTGGAATACATGAGACACTATCTCAAAACAAACAAACAAAAAGCAGAGACAAGTGGCCAACATACAGAGAATAAGAGACTACAGAGTGATTATCCCTGAATTGAACAACTATATCAAACTTCTATCTCCAAAGGCTCAGGGATCATTGTGGAAGAGGTGGTGGAAAGATTGTAAAAGCCAGAGGTGGTGGATGACCACAAGGAAACAGTTTTCCAGACACCTGGGATGTTACTCATACATACTCACAGCAATGGTGACAGCATGAACAAGTCCCATGTTAGTTCAAGCCAGGCCAAATCTCAGCATAGTCATGGAGAAGTGGGTAAGAAACCCCAACCCTACCCGAGGAACCGCTGAAAACTGATGGGTACTGGGAAGGGGAGAGTCAGTCTCTTTCAAGGGTGTGATTCTTGGTAGGTTAACCAGACTCCAGGGGATGGATCCACACTGAAGGACATTTAGGGACACAAATCTGACTCTATAGGCGCGCGCACACACACACACACACACACACACACACACACGTATACATATGAGGAGATAGAGGGTAATTTAAATATGATAAAAATATATTGTGTGAAATTCTCAAAAATCCAATAAAAAGAGGGGTTGGAGAGATGATTCAGTGGTTAAGAGCACTGGCTGCTCTTGCAGCGAACCCAGGTTCAGTTCCCAGCACCCACATGGAGGCTAACAACAACCTGTAACTCCAGTTCCAGGGATCAGGTGCCCTCTGTGGGCATTGCACTACACAGGTGCACTTACATACATTCAGACAATATGCTCATACACATAAAATAAAAATAACAAATAAAATATTTTAAAATTTAATAAAAAAGGAAAAATGCAAAATAAACCAATAAAAACTGAGAATCTCAGGCCAGGCATGGTGGCGCACTTGGGAGGCAGAAGCAGGCATAGATCTCTGTGAGTTCAAGGCCAGCCTGGTCTATGAGTTCCAGGATCTCAAAAACCAAAAAATTAGGGAGGGAGGCTAGGGTTAGGTGTACCGCAGTGTCACAATGCTGCCTAGCGTGTGCAACACCCTGGATTTTATACCCAACACTGAAAGGGGGGCAGGAGACTTAGAGCCTGAGGAATTTTAAGAGAAGTGAAGCTCAAGGGAGAACTCTTAAAGAAACTATGAAGGTCCTGGGAAAGCTTTGGGCTTAAAAAATGAGACACTTTTCCTCTTTGTAGTCATTTCCCAAAACTTGTTAATGTCTACTAGAGTATGTGAGCTCTATAGCAGTAGAGCTTAGTAGTGTACAAAAAATGCCTTTCACATTCGATGGAAAGATGAAGCACTTACCTACAATCATGCAATGACTAGCACCATAATGCACAGGATCATAAAGCTGAGAGTTGTTTTGGAAGAGTTCCCAGGCCCCAGGAGGGCAGAATAAAGACAGCTCATAAACCTTAAGGTATGAATTAAAGCAGAAACTTCTAAGATGACTGCTATGGGGATAGTAGCGAGAGACATGAATCAAATCTGAAGAATGTTTAGATTAAAAAAAAAAAAAAGAAATGAAGACTTCAGATGAGTCCACAAGTCGGTCCTGGTTGTGACAACTAAGATGCTATTGCTGGCAGTCTTGTCACTGTAACTTTTTCTCTGGCCTGGGTTTTGTTCTGGTCAGAACTTGTGTTCTGGTCCTCATTTCTTCTTGTCATAGGGGCCTGTTGCTCCAAATGTGACTTTTACCATGGTGGGGACTTGTGCTGCGGCCCTAACTTCTACCACTGTGAGGGCTCTTGCTCTGCTTCCGACTTCTGCCATGGTGAAATCTTTCACTCTGCTCATCATTAGTACTAAACTTGGTGCTCCGACTTTGGCCCTGAATTTTCCTTTGGTGAGGACTACTACTCCGGCTCCGACTTCTGCTGTGATGGGGACTCTTGCTATGGCTCTGACATCCACTCCGATGGGGACTCTTGCTCCTGCTCTGGCTCCGACTTTTGCTATGATGGGAATTCTTGTTCTGGCTCTGACTTTTGCCTTGACTCAGGCTCTCACTACTCTGGCATTCACTAATAATAATGGTTGAACTACAGCTGAGATTAGTGCTACAGGCAGGGTTTTTGGATAAAGGCAAAGGACAGCTGTAGGGAATCTTAGGGGGCTCTTTGAGTGGGCCTGGAGGGGCCACAGAGTATGTATGAAGGCCACAGGGAATAGTATTGGGGCAGAGTCGAACTCGAGGGACAACAGGTAAACATCGGGGGTCAAAGGGTGTTCTCAGAGGGATAAAAGAATAGATGTGGGTAGAACAAGGAGGCACCACAGACTTGGAATGGGGTGGTGGTGGTGGGCCCCTGGGAGCACTACAGGTGCCAGAGCGGGGAAACAAAAGTTGGTTATTACACTGAGGGGGACCTGTAGAGGGATTGAGGGAACCAGAATGTGGGCATGGATGAGAGATAGAGGGAATCACAGAATACGTATGGATATTGCAAGGGGACACCACAGGAGGTCCACTCTTGGGATAACTACTGGGTGAGAGATGATTAGAAGGCAGGCAATGGGAACAAGAAGCAGGGACATCAATTTTGATGATTCCAGGGTCCACGGGAGGTAAGGTAGTCCCTGAAGGATGTTCTTTAAGGTAAGAATTTGAAGCAGTTGTTATGGCTGGCTCCATAAGAGAAGGACCAGAGAGGCTGAAGGAGCGGGAGAGAGGCAGAGGAGATGTGGTGGCCTTATCAGACTTGGACTGGTCAACAGGAGTGTGCTGGGCAGTGTTGACTAGGGAGCAACACCTGTGAGGAATGCATCTGAACTCTGATTTGGGGGACTTCACTTGAGGGGGAACTGGGGTAGAGGGAAGAGGTTCATTATAGCTTCTGGGTGATTGGGGTGGAGCTATAAACTGGTTGCCCAAGGATGGTGGGAAATACATGGCAGGATGAGGACTCTGAGAAAGAGGTGGTTCTGTGGGACAAGGAGGACCAGAAATCATGGTGCTTGGGGTTAGCAAAAGGTAAGAGTTCCTCCCAGTCTCCCAGGAGAGAATGGACTCAATGCAAGGCTTCCTGGGAGCCTCAGGCTGGGATGAGCCAGGAGAACCAGCACTCTCAGGAGGTGGGCTGAAGACACAGTAAGGGCTCCTCAGGGTCTCTGAACAAAGATGGATATAAGGAAAACAGCCCTCTTGGGGTGAGAAGGGAAAGCCAGACATGCCTGTCTGAGAAGAAAGTGGTGGTCCATAACTGTTTTTCCCAAGAGGTATATCAAGCTGTGGTTTAGGGTCACAAGAGTGTTCATGATAAAGGCTGCCAGCAGGTGGAGAAGCTGCTGAACAAAGAGGAGGATCATTGTAACTTCTCCCTGAGGACCAGTGAGAAAACAGTGGGGAGGCCATTGGCCGGGTTTCCAAAACTCTATGAGAGTGGGATGTGGCGCCTATAGATCTCATTTCCACAGGTCGGTGAGCAAGGGGAGGAGAGATTGCGAGGCCAGTTCTCAGGGCCCTATGGGTAAGAAGAGGTGAAATCATGGAGTAATTTCCCTGGGACCCCTGTGTGCAGGGAGTTGAAATCATGGGGCCAGTTTCCAAGGGCATATGAGTGGGTTGAGGGGAGGTTACCGGTCCGGTTCCTGGGGGTTGATGAATGAGGAGAAGAGAGGTCACTGGACTACAGTAAGAAAGGAAAGTGTGATGGTCAAGGCAAGGGCTTGGAGGGCATGGACGCTGAGGTGTTGGGGAACTGATTAAGTTGCAACAAAGGTTCCGCTGAGGAAGAGAGGGTGACCCCTGAAGGCTGAATTGGTCAAAACAAGGGCTGGGATGGGGTGAACCAGGGGGCTCTTGGCAGTACAGCCTTCCTAGGAGTGGGGAAAGGGGTTCAAAAAAACATCTTCTCTGAGCGGCTGGGGAAGGGGTTGGTGGGGGCTGAGGGGGTACGGAGGGAATCTGACGGGGTAAGCAGGGAGACATAACCGTGGGGCAGGGGAAAGGTTCTCTAGAGTGAGAGGGATTAGTGAACTTTTTGCCTGCATTTGGGGAAAGGCCGGCAGTACCGGCAGGGTGGTTGCTGAAATCTTTCCTGGGCGCCAAAGGCAGCTCAAGAGTGAGGACAGGGTTGAATCCTTCCCTGCAGGACGATGGAGACCCAGGAGGAAAGAGGAAGTCACTATGACCCGTTCCCAGGGATGAGGTTGTTGTGTCTTTAAGTTCAAGGAGGAAAGGAGAAGAGGTCATGAGGCAGGAGGGATAGGGAAAGGGGGGGAAGGAGAGAAAAAGAAAAGGAAAAGGATTGGGAATAAGGGAAAGGTAAGCAAGAAAAAGGAACATGAAGCGGTGACGTCACCGAAAGAATGCGTGCACAGGTGATGACTTAACACAGAGGGGAGGAGTCAGAAGTCTGCTTACAATGGCTTGTGATGAATAAAGGAGCCGGCAGAGGGAGGGGGTGACGCCGCAGATGTGAGGTGTGGGCGTCGGACCGCCAGAGAGAGAGGAAGAAAGCGCTAGGACTGGATGCTTCCCTCTGGCGTTCCCGGCTAGACCTTACCCACTTCTTCTTATATCGATGTCTCCGTGGGACCTGCGCAAAGTCCACAACCTTCAGCAGCTCCCGAACACCCCTTGCTATGGGCGCAGCCATGTCGATGTGTGCAGAGGAGCAACTCCGACCGGAACCGCAGCTGCACGCCCGCGGGTTCCGGGGAGGGGGTGCGCGCTACTGAGGACAACCGCAGCAAAAGGAAAGGGAGTTACAACTAGACGATCTCCCAGGGTTCCGCTCGCTTCCATATATCAAGTGCAAAGCCCGCCCGCCAGAGATCCCAGGAAGAAATTATA